GTCTCAAAAATAAATAAACGTTAAAAAAATTTTTTAAATAAAAATTATTTTAATTAAAAAATGGTTAAAATGGTAAATCTTATGTATATTTTATCAGTTAAAAAAATGAGGAAAAAGTTCAAGGTATATTATTTTTCAGGCAACCTCCAAACCTCAAGAAAATATGCTCTTTTCTAAAATACGTGTCTTTTCTAAATATAATATTAGCTTAAAAAGGATGACCTTCCCTCTGCCTCTTAAAAGAGGGATCTCTTTCTTGTTTCATCAACTATCTGGTCCTCCCCGGTCAAGTTGACACATAAATTAGCTATTTACATTCAAGATCTTTGTCTTCCTTACTGTAATTCAGATTGCCCCAGGATATAGTAGGTCTAATTGACTTCAAAGATACCACAGATGAGATCTATAGTAGGTGTAATTGATTTAATTGAAACAAAACAAAGAATCTTGATCTCTGTGTTTGAATAAAGCATTCAAACTTCTTCATGGTTAAAAGAAAAAGGCTTAGCTTGGACTCAAGAGTATGGGTTTAAGAAGGGTGTGGATTAAGTACCCCATATGGGGGATGGCTTGATCCTGAGTGGTATAGGATACAGGTGGGTGGGCAGTGACAGCTGGAGGGTGGGGCCACACATGCAGCCCCACCGCCCCCCAAAGCTACAGAGGTAACTGACTTGGAATTAGCATCTTCCAGTAAGGAAAAGATTTGAAGTGAGGGCACGGGACTGCAGGTGGTCTGCTGAAGGGAAGCCAGTGAGAGCAGAGATGCGGGTGGGGACTTTTTGTTCTTTGTCCTGAGCACAATGGACCTGAACTCCTTTCCCAGAATGATTGTAGATCTGACCTGCCTCGGAGGAGGGGGGCCCCAAATGGACTTTAGTTATTTGGCGGTTGAGCAATAGTTTCTCTGTGTTGCTTGCCTGCCACCTTCGAGTCCTTTTTAACCTTGAGTAGTCAATATGTAAAAGAAGCTTTTCTCTTCCAGATTCTAGGACCAGAGGGCCTATTTTGACTCTTGTGCTGTTTTTGGTGGGTTTACCACCTGCCAAGGGCATGTGTGTTGACCCGATGCAGAGGGTCTTGGGTTGCTGGCGGTGCTTGAGTGCGGGGATCAGCACAGAGAAGCCCTCCCTGGACACGGTGCCCTAAGCCATCCCTTCACGTGGCTTATTTCTAATCCCCTGGTGCTTGGGTTAAAATAATGACTGATTTGAAAGCCCAGTTAGGAATTTCCTGGTTAACAATTACTGGTAGTTTCTTCTTGCTGGCTCTACCGGAGGTTAGGGACGATCCTTGTGATTTGGGACTACTGTTTTATTTAGCGGGAATGCTTGTCTAGCAAATGAGAGCATGTGTGAGGTTGCATAGGAAAACTACACTCTTCTGCTACATGCCCCCTTCCCTCTCCCCCTGCTGCCACCCTCCTGACACCAGATGCATGGGTTTTCCACACATCAGCAATTCTGTGACACCAGCGGGGGGGGGGGGGGGGGGGGTCCTACAGTTCAATTCAGTTCTGATGCTAATTGGAGTTAGTGCAGACCTCACAGGTTAAGGGCTCAGTCCCAGAAGACTGCCCCCCCAGTCACAGATGTAGAAGGTCTCCAGGTTACCCACAACTTCTGTATGACTTGGCTACACATTGGAGGTTCCTGTGAATCACCCTCCTTGGATTCAGTCATTTGCTAAGCTCACAGAACTCGGAAACATTTGCTTACCTTTACCAGTTCATTCTATAATAAAAAATGCCATAAAGGCAGGAAACAGATAAACAGCCAGATGAAGAGATACTTAGGGTAAGGTCTAGGAAGGTCCCAAGTGCAAGAACTTCTGTCCCCCTAGAGTTGGGGGTGCACCATCCTCCGGGTACGTGGATGTGTTCACCAGCGTGGAAGCTCCTTGGGCCCCATACTTTTGGAATTTTCACCGAGGCTTCCTCACCTCTGCCTGATCAATTACTAGCTCACTTTCTAGCAACTCTCCCCTCTCTGGAGAATGGGGAGTGGGATGGAAAATTCCAAGCTTCTGCTCATGGCTTGGTCTTTCTGGTGACCCGTCAGGAGCCCACCCAGAGTCACCTAAGTAGGACAAAGGCACTCATCCACCGCCCCCCCCCCCCCATCACAAGGGTTTTAGGAGCAGAGATTAATTATCTATTTCTTATTATTTCACAGTACTCTCAGGAAACGGGCTCTCTCCTCCTGACTGGCTTTCCCCGTCTAGACGTCCTCTAGATTTATCTCCACCAATAGGTCCCTGACCCAGCGGTCAGCCTTGTCTTCCGTGCCATTTTCCTTGTTCTATCCAGCTGCACCCATCTTGTCCGCTGCTGGGCTTCCCCACAAGGGGAGCCCCACGGAGGCAGGCCCAGTACCAACGCTGTGGTTGCCACAGGGAAGGTCCTCGAGAAATACTTGGCAAATGAATGAACTGAAATCAAAACTTACCAAATGAATGGCAAAGTGCTGAAAAGCCACCAACTATTGATTAAGGGAGGTTAGTTCCTGTGAATATTTACACTTCAATACTGGAGGATATCCTACTGCTCACAAATTCTCGTTCTTTGCAGAAACATAGGTTAAGAAACTTGCATTTTCCAGTCATTCATATATATATATTTTTTTTAAGTTTATTTTTTTTAAACTTTTTTTTAATGTTTATTTTTGAGAGAGACTGAGTGTGAGTGGGGGAGGGAGGGAGGGAGAGAGAGGGAGACACAGAATCCAAAGCAGGTCCCAGGCTCTGAGCTGTCAGCACCGAGCCGACGCGGGGCTTGAACCTAGGAACTGCGAGATCATGGCCTGAGTTGAGGTCAGACACTTAACCGACTGAGCCACCCAGGCGCCCCTATTTATTTATCTTTCAGAGAGAGAGAGTATAAGTGAGGGAAGGGTAGAGAGAGAAGGAGAGAGAATCCCAAGCAGGCTCCGCACTGTCAGCACAGAACCCATTGCGGGACTCGAACTCACAAACCGTGAGATCATGACCTTAGCTGAAAGCAAAAGTCAGACGCTTAACTGACTGAGCCACCCAGGTGCCCCCTGGTCATCTATATTTTAATGGGATGCCATTTTTCTGCTGATTTTTCAGACATGCAAATATGACCTATAGTTTTTACAGGAGGGTTTATGTTTAAGCAAGCATGTGCCTCAACTTACAGCTCTGTAGGAACTCTGTGGGGTACTTAGAATGTATGTTTGGGGGTTTTGAGTCCGTCCTTCATGGCCAACCTGCTGTGTAGCCCTGGGCTGAAATCCTTTTCTAAGCCTCATTTTCATTACTTGAAAAATGGGAAGAAAAACCCCAAAGTCAGCAATTCATTTGTTCAGGCATTTGGCAAATCTTCCTTCTTGTATGGCTGTGCTGAGTTCTGGGTGGGGAATTAAAAAAAAAAAAAAAAAAAGGTTAACCCTTCTTGCCTTCAAGGCACCTACTTTAGGTGGGGAGATACCCTGTAACCAGGAAAAGTTTAGTTTTGAAGAGGGTCCTGGGCTCTCTCTAGGCTGGATCAGGCCTCATCCGGGAGGGCGGGGAGTTCTCTCTGCTCACGGGCTAAGAAGCTGATGTCCACAGTTCAGAAAGGAACCGCACAGTTGTTTTGCAATAGGATGTCGTCTTCATGTTTGCCAAGCAGTTCTGAGGGAAAGGCCATAGAGATGTCAGGACGTCGGCAACTCGGGAGAACCCACAGGTTGCTGTGAGCTTTGACTGAGTTTAATGCCGGCAGCGTTTCCATTTTTAGGCAACCTTGAACCGGTGCAATGACAACTCAAGTCAACGGGGCTCACAAGGATGCTGACCTGTGGTCCTCGCATGAGAAGATGCTGGCACAGCCCCTCAAAGACTGCGACACCGAGGTGAGATGTCTTCACTGATGCTCTGAAAGCGGAGGTGGGCGCCGGGCTGGCTCAGCAGGAAGAGCATGCGACTCTTGATCTCGGGGTCATGAGTTCAAGCCCCGTGTTGAGGGTAGAGATTACTTAAATAAATAAACCTTTAAACTTGTTTAAACAAATAAGCAGAGGCTCTTGTTTAATTCTCCAGCTCTACCCCTAAAGAAACCTTATTCGGGGACAGCTTTGCCGTTAGTAGAAGAATGCCAGATTTAGAGGCAGTGGCTGAGAAAGTGGCTAAGAGTCCTCCCCTGTGGATAAATTTGGAGATTTCTGAGTTTCTGCAGAGTGCAGAGCACTGTGCTGGCTGCCCTGGAGGAAAGGGGCCTGGGAGGGGTCATTGAGATTTGGCCCTTTCCTTCCAGGCCAGAGGAGTATATGTAGACACCGAGAAGCATCTTTTGTGTGTGTGTTTTTTTAACAGCTTTATACCCAAGAGATCATTCACTTCCCATACAAGTCACCCAGTGAAAGCACACACGTCAGTGATTTTTAGTACGTTCACAGCCAATTTTAGACCACTTTTATCCCCCCAAAGAGAAACCTCGACCCCATGAGCAGTCACCCCCGTGCCCTCTCCCCGCAAACTCCCCAACCCTCGGCCACCAGTGGTCTCCTTTCTGTCCATGTGGATTTACCAAAGCAACTTTTATTTTAAGGAAGGAGAGCAAGGAATATAGTTCAGGGAGGGAGAAACTTGGTGAAACATAGGGATAAAAATAATGAGATAGTGTAAAATTAAAAATCGGTGGGGTACTTATTTATTGATTTTTAAGGTGGGAGACTTATTTTTTTTAAGTTTTATTTATGTATTTTGAGAGAGAGAGAGCACACGCGCACAACTGGGGGAGGGACAGAGAGATAGAAGGAGAGAGAGAGAATCTCAAGTGGGCTTCACACTCTTGGTGCAGAGCCCGAGGCGGGGCTTGAACTCATGAACCATGAGATCAAGACCTGAGCCAGAGTCAGCCACTTAACCAACTGAGCCCCCCAGGTGCCCCGGGATACTTATTTTAAAGATCATTTTCTCTCAATTTTGTTTCCCTTGATCCATTGTCTTCTAGTAATTCCTTCCTGAACGCTACAATCTGAGGAAGATCTCTCTATTCTTTAAGTTCTATGGGAGTCTCCTCAGTCGAGTTGTTGGGGTTTATGGTCCACTTTCGGGGGTAAAATGCGAATCTTTAATAGTGCGTCTTCGCATTAATAGGCTATTGCTTTGATCAGAGCAAAATGCTAACCTGAAATGTCCAGACTTTCACTGTCTCTTCTGATCTCCTCAGGTTTACGACATCATCAAGAAGGAGAGTAACCGGCAGAGGGTTGGGCTGGAGCTGATCGCCTCAGAGAATTTCGCCAGCCGGGCAGTTCTGGAGGCTCTGGGCTCTTGCTTAAATAACAAGTACTCTGAAGGGTACCCAGGGCAGAGGTATGTGAATGTCACCGAAGGCCTGCTTCTGACACAGTGACGTGGGCTCCTGAGTCTGAACAGAGTCCAAACAATGTGGACATGTCAGAAAACAGCAAAGCACTCAACTGTGGGGATTTCTATTCTGCGCTGGTCCTGTCGTAACTCGTTTGCGATTCCCAGCATGTTCTAGTGCTGATATTCTTAGAACAGCTAGCTATACTCAGGGTCCTTTATCAGTCCCTGTGGGGGCTTTCTAGAATAACAGGTCAGTCCATAAGGAGTCTGGAGCTGCTGGGCCACTGTCGAGCCTCTAGAAAAAAAGGTCAGTGCCCTGAGTGGCACTGTGGAAGGTTGCTGCTCTGTGAGTAATTAAATCTGTACCAGGAGTGACCTGGAAGTGACAACTCAACCTGTCATCGCTGCATGGAATGTTGGGTTTACCTGCGCTGTGATCTGAGAACCACAGGAAGTTATATTCATTTTTGGTTTTTTTAAAGTTTATTTATTTTGTGTGAGAGAGCTCACCACATGAGCAAGGGAGAGACGGAGAGAGAGAGGGAGACAGAGAGTTCCAAGCAGACTCTGTGCTGTTAGCACAGAGCCCAACATGGGGCTCGAAACCACAAACCGTGAGATCATGACCTGAGCTGAAACCAAGAGTCAGGTGCTGAACTGACTGAGCCACCCAGGTGCCCCTCAATAACCCCTTTTTGACCACACTTGAGTTTATGCCATCGAGGTGACTCAGGGTGGGGCCGCTAGATGCAGAAAGACCAAATGGGAGATTAGACAAAACAACATGAAGAACACAGCTTAGATCCCAGGCCCAGATCAGGCTTCTGAATCCCCTGCCCCGAGAGCTGAATTTCCATGCAGAGCTGCGGACAGCATCTGGGAACAGCTCTGACGTTAACCAGAGTACTTGCTGGGTTTCATCAACCCTGAGCACTCACTTTTTCACATTTTCACATCTCTGAAACTAGGATGAAACTGATTGATGGCAAGCCATCGTTTAATTGAAAATTCTCGGCGGTTAGTAAGATAGCAGTTGCCTCGTAACTGAGGGTGAAATGCAGTGCTGTGTTCTAGGCATTGGGCTAAGCATGGCGACGTTCGTGTTTGTGCGTCCTGCAGCCTGACTGCAAAGTCCGCACTCTCACCCCCCCTCCAGATCAGGAGATGGACTTGGGTAGGTGAAGGAGGCTGCACCAAGGCCCGTGGTAAAGGGCACAATGAGGTTTGCACGCTCCAGATCTGGGTCTGCGTGTGGCTCATCTGTCTGAGGCAAGGCAGGAGGGGCGCCGGAGCCTCACCATGACCTTGAATGCCATCCTCATGGCTGCTCCCCTGGAAGATGGTTAATTGCCAAGTCCCTTTGCAGCCCTGACATTCCTGAAGGTCCTCAATGCTTCCCCAGGCATGGCCTGCTGTCCCTCAAGCTTGGGGAGACCGCACCCTTCTTTGGTGACAAAGCAGAGAATGTGGGGCTGGAAGGGACCTTCCAGATTATTCAGCAAAGCCCCTTTCTGTTTCAAGACTTGTTCATCACAGCATCATTCACAATAGCCAAGAGGGGGGAGCATCCCAAGTGTCGGTGGATGGATGAATGGATAAGCAAAATGTGGCATATCCATATAATAAAATGTCCTCTTCAGCCTTAAAGAAGAAGAAAATCCTGTCACGTGTGACAACAAAGATGAACCAGGAGAACATTGTGCTAAATGAAAGTCTTAAAAATACAGATACATGCAGGGCACCTGGGTGGCTCAGTCGGTTAAGCATCCGACTTCAACTCAGGTCATGATCTCGCAGTCCGTGGGTTCGAGCCCTGTGTCGGGCTCTGTGCTGACAGCTCAGAGCCTGGAGCCTGTTTCAGATTCTGTGTCTCCCTCTTTCTCTGACCCTCCCGTGATCATGGTCTCTCTCTCTCTCTGTCTCAAAAATAAATAAACGTTAAAAAAAAGAA